CATCTTCTGAAAGAAGTGGGGTACTTGGAATGAAATTCTTTAAAAAGTCTGTTTGCTAGTTATGAAATTCTCTAAAAAGTAGATGTTTGCTTATTACTTGAAATACTGTTTCTCAGGACTTTTAGCTTTAATGAAAAAGTCGTAAATTTTCTGATGCTGGGGGAGGAGGAGTTTTAGTGAAAGAATGTAGAAAAGTACTGTAGGACCCATCTTGATTCAGCAGCGTGCATGTGAATTGGTGATATCCTCCAACAGAGGACAGCGAACAATCTGGACTATACTCAAGATAGAATATTTGTTCATGTATTTGTAGTATTTGAATATTTGTAAACTCAAACTTGGTGCATATGAACATGTTTTTTGTCCCTTGCTGATTAGCATACCATGCAGGATGCAGCGAGGATGATGCTGATCTTGAAAACATGCAGCTGACAAGAAATACTATGTTACTGAGCTCCCGTGGTCTGATTTATGGGTTGACAATAGCTGAATTACACCTTACCTTTAAGATGAGAGTGAATGGAACTTTCATGTGTTCCATTTATTGTGCAACTATTTTAATTTTTCAGTTTTTAAAAACATAAAATGTATGGGAAGGCAGCATAAAGCTATAACAAAAAAGAAGCTTTTGACTTTGATACGTTTATGGGCCTATCAAACCTTTTTTTTTTCCCTTCCATATTGGAGGAATTTAAAGATGAGTTGTGATAATGTAGCAATGTAGAACTTCAAAATATGGTGCTTAAAATGGTGTAGTTAGATTGTGAGAAATACAGGCATAAATAATTCTGTTTCTTAGCTGTTTATTTTGTAACTGGATATATCATGGTCATCACTGGGGTATGATACAGAGGTCACTAAATAATATGCAAGAACAAAGGAATGGAAACCAAGAGGGGACCTGTGCGTTTCCAGTGTATTTTTGAGATCTATCTGGCTTGAACCTTAATGTGTTTTTACTTTTATCACTAAGGACTGGGTGGGGGAGAGTAAATTACAGGAAACGGCCGAGTAGCTCATCTAATATTTACGTCAGTGGTTTTGTATGCCACAAGTGAAGAGAGATTATTCTGATTTTAAAATGAATGTAAACCAAGAAGTTGTTATATATACAAATAAAAGGTTGAGTTTTGTGCACTGCCTCTAAACTTATTTCTTTGTGTAAAACAGAAGTTAAGATACCGCTATTCATACATGGAAGCTTCCTCCCCGCCCCCCCCAACATAAATGTTGAAAATGAGTTTCTGAACTTTGAAAGATGCAAAGTAGACTTTGGTAGTCTTCTAGAGGAAAATATTTTAGTCTCACAGAAAAAGAATATTAGTGTGCAGCTTAGATTTTGAGTAAAATTATTTTATGAATGCAGTATAGTAGCAGTGATAAACTTACAAGGTCATTTGAGATCTTCATGGAAATAATGTTAGAGGATTTAGAATAAGAATTTATAAGGAGATAAATATTAAGCTTTTAAATTACTTACAAAAATTGTTGCTTTGTCCGTATATAAACATATGTATTGTAAGCTTTCATATTGCTACCTGTAATTACTCGTCTTTTTCCCATTCAAAGTCAGTCATCTAAGACTTGTGAGCTGATCAATGTATTTTATTCAATAGCTTTTTTTTTTAATTTGCTAAGCTCCTAAAATAAAACAGAAAAGCACGCCAGAAGTCATTACATTACTCTCAAAATGACTTGCACAAATAATTAAAGCTGGTCCTGGCATGTAGTGTAGTCATGTATTACGTAAAGTAAACATGCCGGTTCTCTAACATCATGTTTTCTCAACCTACTTATTGATTTAATTATCTGTGTCATTTTGGCAAAGGATGCCGTGATCCTGCAATGCACTGTGCTTCCCCTCTCCTCCTCCTGAACTTTAAAATAGATCTTGTCCTTCCTGTGGTGAAGTCTGCTGTTATATAAGCAAGTGTCATAATTGTATCATCTGTCTTGATCTTACAGATCTTGACCTTACAGAGAATTTAATCAATATTAATGCAGGTGTTGAGAGGAAGGAAGAGTGAGAACAAAACTCATAGCCAAATGGTGGATTTGTTTTAGATGTCTTTAGGATTAGATTTTTCTTTTTGTTTGTTTTGTTGTTGTTGTTTTTAAGTGTCTCCAGAGTGAGTGCTTCTGTTTGAGTGCATGCAGCTGTCAGAGTTGGAGTGTGTGTGTGTGTGTGTGTGGCAGAGCACTGAACTGAAATCTCTGACAAAAAACACTGACAATAGGGAGAGTATTTGGGAGATGGTAAATGTTATGTGTAGGTAATACTCGTGGCTAGTTTTTGTTTTGCTTATCTTACTGGTATGAAACCCATACCGTCAATGGGCATAAGTAGCTGTGGGCTGCGGGTTGTTTGTTCTGTTTGTTTGTTTTTTAAATGAAGCTTCATTAATTACAAGTTATTTAGATGTGTGAGGGACCACACTGCAACACTTCTGCAGCTGGAACTACATGCAGGGATAAGAAATTTTCTGGTGAGCAGTCTCAAGATCAGGTGCTAGCTTTGCTTCTAGTCCTGAGCTGTCCTGTCTCTGTGCTTTTTCAGATAAATCTCTGGTAGTTTGTGGACAGTTGAAGGTAGAGGAGTGTCCTTTGACCACAGAACCTGATGATTTGTCATGTCTTGTATTTGTGTGGTAGAGTTAGAAGAGGAATTGGCCTTCTGAATTTGTGTAGGCCTATTGCAAAGATAATTTCTAGGCATATTTTGGAAACTTTTAAAAGAAGCATAGTACTACTTTTCCATATAATATGCAATTTTGTTGTGGCGTATTAGCAGTATTTTTTTTCTTGTGGGTTTTATTGGCCATGACTACCAAAACAGAGGCTTTGTAAGGTGCTGAAAATCTTAGTATGTCCTTTAAGAGAGGAAATAATGCTATAATTTGCTTCCTGGCTGTCCTCTAAACCCAGCAGTTGTTTATGGGAATAAAAGTAAGTAAAAATACAAGATATCTGTTGCTTTTAATGACACTTTTACTGGTAATAAAGCAAAGCATATACATAAGCATTTTTTATTATTAGGATCTAGCATTTTAAAAATTTAATTATAAAAAAAGACCCAAGTTTATTATTTATTTTGCTTTTTTATGGTGGACTTCCAAGTATGTGAATAAGAAACCACAATTCCCTCTCAACAACTTTGAGTTTGACTTGTAACTGAAAAGGATTCTTCTACTTTCAGTTCAGCTCTGCACCTGGTCAGCATTTGCTGAAAAAATAACAGACTTTGTTATGTGACCTTGTTTCTGTGAACAAAAGGTGCTCAAAAGGAAAAGACAACTGAGTCCATAGGTCCTATTGGGCATCTCCAGAGTAAGCAGGATCCTCCCCTGTTGAAGATGAAACTATTCAGCAGTGTATAGCAGGGAACAGTTCCGATTTGCACTGCTGTCTGTATCTCATTAAATCTGTTTCTCTTTGAGAACTGGATGTTTTTTTCTGTCAGTAAAGCATATTGCTGATCAAAGTGGTACACGTAAGCAGTATACAGGAAATGATGTTTCTATCTGTCGAGTGTCTTGCAGCAGCAGGCATATGAACAGTATCTTTTTCATTTCTTGGCAATTAATTTTTATGATAGTTAACTTTAAAGACTGTATCACCTTGCTGAAATGGGTGTCACCTTGCCCAAAATATCTGAGCTCAGATATTCCTGGCAAGAACAGAAGAAGTCAATACAGATGACCTGGCTGTTAAATGCATTTCTTTCCTGCCAGAAGAAAGGTAGTGCGTTCACTTTCAGTCTGGATACGTCTACACTTCTGGTTCATTCAGTGGAAAATTCAGATCCAGTTCTTCTAGCTATTTCATAATATCACAAGATCAGGTATCTTCGTATTACAAATTCTGTAGTTAATCAAGAATCTTGAAAAAAATCATGTTTTTCTTCATGTTCTTTCCAGACTGCAGTTTTTAATAAAAGGTTTTATGTAAGATTAGGACCATCTTATGATTTACAGTATTGTGACTTTTTAAGTGCTTTATATTAGTAGTAACGTTTCTAATTGAGTCATATATTGCATGGAACGGTTATATAACAGCTATATATGAGTGCAGTTTTTCTGCTGAATGAAAAACCTTTGCAAATAATATATCCAGCACTGCTGAAGAACTGATTTAGACAGACCATTAGTGTTATTGAGAATATTTCCCGAGTTTTTCAGCTTTCCATGCTATTGCTTACTTCCTTAGCACTATTGCCACTGCAAAGTTTGTCTGGTGGCCAACCTCATGAAGGTGAGGAACAGAAATAGAGATATCACAGGATTCATATAGAAAACCAAGAAAGACAATTGTTAAATACGTTGGCGAAGTGTAGCAGAAACGTGAAAGTGGGACAGGTGGTAAGGCTAAAGACATTCCTGTAGGGAGGAGAGGGGAGAAAAGGCAAGGGGCCGGCAGGGACATGGGAACTAGTACCTTTGCCAGAGTGTGCATGCAGGGAAAGGGCTGTACCGGACATGAGCACTGCTGCTGCTTAGTCCAAGCCATTGATCTTCAGCATAGAGCCCAGTGACTTTGTAAAGTGCCGCAATGAATCATTTGTTAGTTCATTTAATCAGATGTTTTGCTAAGAGGAAAACAGAGGTAAATGTCTATACAACTTAAACACCATCTAAATCCAAAGCTTTTTTCTTTTAGATGTTGCCAGGTAATGCACTGATCTGCAGAAGACAAGGTGCTCATGGCCTTAGTAAGGGAGAAGAGAGAAGAGAGGAAAAAAAAAAAAAAAAAAGATTTTGTGCCGGACTGTAAAATCTTACAAATACAGTCTGTTTTAGATCAGAATATTAAATTCAGTGCACCATATTTTACATTTGGAAGTCTTTTGTAGAGCTTTGCTTAGACACTGCTGTTAAATAATTTGTTAATTTAATTTTTGTAATGTTTGTTATTTAATAGAGCATTTTTTTAAAGCTATAAATCAGATTTATATGCTTATATGTAGTATACTTTGTTTAGGAAATCTGAAAGGAAGAGGAGAGCCCTGCTTATGAAGAGATGACGTGTAACGGCCCTGAAGACTCAGAGGCTTGTGCCACTTCAGACACTGGCAGTGAGCAGGAAGGGGCACAGGAGCACAAGCGACTCAGGACCTTTGTGACATTTCCCTTTGATTGTCCAGTCTCGGCAGCAGCGCTAGCACGAGCTGGCTTTGTTTATACTGGAGAAGGTGATAAAGTGAAGTGCTTCAGTTGTCATACAACTACCGAAGGATGGGAACATGGAGAGTCTGCATTTGAAAGACACAAAAACCTTTCCCCAAACTGCAAATTTATTACTGAATCAACTTCTTTGGAAAATAATATTCATCCTGTTGACCAGAACCACCAGGATAGAACTGAAAATTGTTCCAGCAATTCAGCCATTTCCTATGCTTTAGATGACTCATCTGATGTCGAAGCTGATTACCTTTTGAGAACTAGACAGGTTGTGGATATGTCAGATACTTTGTATCCTAAAAACCCTGCAATGTGCAGTGAAGAAGCTAGATTAAAGTCATTTCATAACTGGCCTCTCTATGGCCTGTTGACACCAAAGGAATTAGCTAATGCTGGGCTTTATTATACAGGTGTTGGTGATCAAGTGGAATGTTTTTGTTGTGGTGGAAAGCTGAAAAACTGGGAACCTAGTGATAGAGCTTGGTCAGAACACAAGAGGCATTTTCCCAAATGTTTTTTTGTCCTGGGCCGGGATGTTGGAAATGTTCCAAATGAAGCTGTGTGTGCTGAGCTTGAGAGAAATGCTCTGAGCGATGTGCAGTATCCAAGGAATCCAGCTATGGCAGAATATGAAAGACGGCTACAAACCTTCCTAACCTGGAGATACCCTGTTAACAAGGAGCAGCTTGCCAAAGCTGGATTTTATAGCATAGGTGAGCCAGATCTGAAAACTGGTAATATCTTTTGCAGGATAAACTTCATATGATACAATACCAATATGCGACAAATTTCTAAGTCTAGTGTCAAATGACTTGCTAGAACTCAATGCTTAGATAAGAGTTGAAATTCATTTCATTTGCTTGCTTTGTAAACCACCTAGAGTTGTTTTTTTCATATTTTTAACTCTTATAAAATGACATACATCATATCAAATATTTCAAAAGCAAAATATGACATTTTTAGATTATGTGAATTTTTTAAATTTACAGATTATTTTAGCATTAAACTTTAAATTTCCTTGCCTGTTATAAAACCATTTTAAGATATCTTTCACAATTGGATTTAACATTAGAAAAAATAAAATGTTTTCCAGGAGATATTGTGCTCAGGTCCAAGGTCCAAGAATATAGAGTTGTGGTTCATATACAGGCCTGTGTGCAAGGCAGTCTAGATTTTGTGCCATTTTCATTGATTACTTACTATGGTTTTGATTTGTCATAGCATCCTGACACTTAAGAGTAAATGTTGTTACCTACTACATATATATAAAGTTTAGGAAGAAATGACTGTGGCGTTTGAAAGCTTTTAATCTTAGAAATGTAGTGTATGCCTTAGAATGAGACTCTAATATTTGTACATAGATTCCCCCCCGCACCTCCACTTGGAGTAGGTGAATGGTTCTATATCAGGCTCAATTGCAGGCTGCAGGTAAAGCTCTCTGAAATTCTTAACTGAAAGTTGCTGGATAAGTGCAAAGTGTTACTATTAGATTACAAAGAAAAAAAGGATTATCGAGGATGATTTCTTGCTCTCATCTTAACTGGCTTTTCTTTTAGTAGCTTTCAGTACTCTCTAATCTGATTCCGTTTGTTTTGCTTGTTGCCCTGAATAAAGCTGCTGATATAGTCTTGTATCAGCAGTATATGGGCAATATTTGAAGCCTCTCATTTCAATAAACACAACCTCTAAGCAGGTTCTGGTGCAGTCTTTAATTGCAGTGTGCATGGTGCCAGAACTGAGAGAATGTGATTTCTTCTAACAGCTCCTTGGTCAGTTACTGCCATGTGGTGATCATTAATCTTAACAGTGAAATGGAGGACCAAACAGGCATATAAACATCCCTTTGAATTCTGTTTCTATTAATAATTTCCACTCTTGCTTAACTCTGATTTAAATATAAAATAGAAGACTGGCCATGAGGGCAGATAAAGCTGTATCAAATACTTTCGAATAAATTTTTTGTGGTAGAGTGTTTAATGGTTTTGTACTAATGGAATGTGCTATCTAAGAATAGAATATTTTTAGTATTCTATTTTTATCTGTATAATTGCTAAAACAGAATTCAGAAATATTTTAAAATACTTTAAGCACAAGGTTTTTCTGAACATTTTTCTCAGATCATATTTACTATACCCACACTTAAGAGTTCTTTTTAGTTGTCATTGCTTATTTTTAAAATAAATGCTTTTCTCTTAGTAATATAGAGTTTTAATTGAAGAATTTGTTATGCATGCTAAAAGGACGGGACTTCACCCCTGTTTGTTTCCTCAGGTAATGGTGATCATGTTGTGTGCTTCCATTGTGGTGGGGGACTGCAAGAGTGGAAGGAAAATGAAGACCCCTGGGATCAACATGCCAAATGGTTTCCTGGGTAGCTTCTTTTTGCTGTACTTTTTCGTTGCATTTGAGTGTCACTTACAGTGCATTTCAATGACAGAATAATCAAATAAAGACTTCGGAAAGTTGATTATGAGTTAACATTGGTTAGCTTCATGAAGAGAACTTTTTTAGTTAGTTACTCTCATCTTTTTTCATTCTCTTCTCATGCTTCATTTTTGTCACATAGGTACTGCAAAGTGTTCTTTGTGGTAGAATACAGTTATCATCAGTGTTTAGATTTTTCCTTCTCAGTAAGAAGAAAATGTTTTAGGGAAGTTTTTGCGCGAGTTCTTTATTTTTGTTATTCCAAATGTTCCACCTTTCTCTAGTCCCGCAGTTACATGTATAAGCGCTGATATATCCTTAAGTGATACATTGTCAGTCTCAGAATAGAGCACTAATTGAATATGATCTTTGACAGGTAGGTGGGAGTTCATCTAATGTGCGTGGGAAAGAGAAATAAATCCCAAGTGGTTGAGGGCACAACTAACTCATTAGAGGTAATCAAATTATGAAAGCTTGCTATGAAATTGTACCTTCAAAAATGCTTTACCTTTGAGCCAGTATTGTATTTATAGCAAATCAGAATTGTATTTATAGCTTGTTTGTGAGAATTATTAAAGAGAAGATTTTGTGTCTGGACCTACTGCCATCTCGTTTAGCAGAACAGTGAAGTTTTGTGAATAGAGGTCTTACTTGGTTGCATTATTCAAAGAAGATATTCTGATCGTTATTCTGCTAGCTTGCCAAAACTTTATTTTATATCAAGATGCAAAATGACTAAACTTCCTTGGTTCAAAAAAGCCTGAAGAAGCCAGTATTGAATTGTAGTATTGAATTCAAAATGAATGTACTACTACATATAATACTGAACTGTAGTAGTATTGAATTCAAAATGTGCTTCTAAATAATTTTAAAGCGCAGAGGATTCTAGATCTAGAAGTAACTTTTGGAAAGGTTTGTTTGTTTATACTAAATCATGAGAAAAGTAGTAAATGACTCATTGCTTCTGGTGGATAAAAGCTGTCCAAGTACCAAGTCTTAATTCTCATCTTTTTATGTAAGTATCTCTCTGATATGATAGTTACCAAACGTTTCTTGTGTGGTGAAAGATTCTCCAGAAGCTGAAAGTTAATATTTACGCATTAGCGCCTTTTTTTTTTTTTTTGGATTTGATTTTTAATAGTGGTGCAAGCAGTCTTTAATTACTCATCTCTTGGAAATGAATGGTTTTGTTCTTCCAGATTTTTGGCTTAGTGATGCAAGTGCTTAAAAGATCATTTATTTTTCCTCTCCTCATGTGTATGTGTTTGTTTTATTTATTTATTTTTTAATTCTGCCAGATTTGATCACTTCCTGTCTTTCAAATCATTAACTACCTACAAGGAGTTTTGTTTCTCTATGCATCCACTTCAGTTGCAGCGTTTCAGAGTCTGATAGGATGCTATACATGCCCATGAACTACTGAAGGTGAACTAACTCCTGAAGCTAGCGAGCTACTATTGAGAAGTCACAGCGTTCTCTTAATCTTCTTGTAGGGAAGAACTATGTCCAGTGGTTGGAAAACAGCAAGAGAAAATGGATAAAGCACCAGCTTACTGATGATTGCTTTTCATTGACTACAAAAGGCTAAAATAACCAACATTTTAAAGTAATGTTACTCTTTCATTGGTCTCCTTCTATAAACCTATGGTGCCAGATGTCATGGACAACAACTATTTAGTTTTGTTTCATTAAAAAGATGAAGAGATGCTGCCGAAATGATTGTTTTTTGTTTTGTTTTACTTAAGGTGTTTATAGAAATGTTTAATCCACATGAATAATGTCTTTTAAGCATCTAGAGACTTCAAAGGAAAAAATCTTTGTTGTAGGAATTGTTCAGAACTCTTTCAAATAATGTGATCAATTTTTTGTTTGCTGTTTATGACATTTGATTATAACTAAATATTTTGATTAATAGATGCAGGTTTCTGAGAGAAGAAAAGGGACAAGAATTTATAAATAATGTTCACTTAAGAGATGGATGCAACGATTCCACAGTAAGTGTCTTATCAACCAAATACTGTTTTGTGAAAATAGAGGAAAAAATCTTAATTATATATAATTGTAGTATGAAATTTTATTATCATCTCTTTTCAATTGAATATCATAGATCATTCTGCCTCTTTCACTGACATGAAGCAGAAGACACTGTATATTTTGATTATTTTATGCAGGGGTGTTAGATCTCACAGTCCTCCTTAGCAGGATTATGGATAAGAATTACAGTACCATGTGTATGTTGTATATGGGTACCGAAGAAATGGTACTTGCTGTAGAATGGAACCAAAGCAATGGATAATTTCCTTATTTGAGTGTAGTAGATAATTTTTATTTCCTGTTGGTAGTAAGAACATTGTTAAATTGTATAGAATCACTAAAAAATAAATCTGCTGTTACTTTAGAATTCTTTGATAGGCAAGGAACCATATACATATTATTTATAACCATGATTGTTTAAAAATAGAATTTAAATAAAACAATAGGAAAGAGAGATAACAAAACACTGACCCCTTTTGAATCTGTTAATAGTAGCATACAGTTTTAGTCAATGGAGTAGCTATTTTCTGCCTTTGCAACTATGTAGCTTTCCTTCTGTGCTCTCTGGAATTGTAATTTTGTCTGTTTCTATTTATTTTTTTAGATAGAAGCTGCTGAATTAACAATACTTCCTAAAGGTATCAATTTAAAAAAAATATATCTTTACTATCCATATTTGCGTGGATAGTAAAGGAAATGGTTAATTTCAAAGATGATAAGTAAATAGTGGCAAATAAATTGTTGAATGATACTCTTACATTGCTTCATTGCTTCTCAACAATATGATTATATTTCTCTCAGGGGAAAGCTAGTGTTACATGATTAGATAAATACTATAAAGTAGGGCCTGTAAACCATTAAAGAAGTACCTGTGGTATGCATACGTGCTTCACAGCTAGTGGGCATCAAGTATTGGGAGGAATACCAAAGAAAACTGGCATAAAATGATATTTGCTTTTCATGAGGGAGGAAGAATTTGTCTGCTAACTAGCAGTAAGTTGAGAAAGCTCAAATAGCTTGTTCTGTGTTCCAGAACAAATAGCTTGTTCAGGTTCCTGCAAGATTTCTCACAAATATGAAACAATAAAACAAGTCATTTAAGGAGAAAGCAAGAAGACAACGAAGCAGCTTCTTCATAGGGAATGATTGCTGTTGCTAATAAAGGAGTTCACACAAAACCTATTTTAGAAATTTCTCAATCAATGGTTATGAATAAGAGAAATAGATTAGAAAGTTTAGTGCTTTGAACACTTTCATGAAGTAATGAAGAAATCAGTTGCATGCCATCAAAACAATGGGAAACAAGTAATCTGGCTGACAAATCTATTCAAAAAAGGGAGGAAGATACCCAAATGGCTGAAAAAGTTTCCCAAAGTGCTCCTGTGTGTTCCTGTGGAGAGGCTTGCTTCAGAAGTCATTAAATGCTTGCTTACTGTGTTGTGTTTGGGTTTTATAATTTCAGTTTACTGGTTTATCTCAACATGTGCATGAAAGTTTAGGGTGTGGGGATAGGAACTAATAATCTAATGTTACCAAGTAATTAGATATCTATCGTGCCTTGGGAGTTTGGATAATTTCCAATTTAAAAATTATGAAATTTATGATGTTAAATAAGGTAATTTTTTTTAAAAAAAGTTATGTTGAAGCTGATATTGAGTAGCTAATCTAGCAGGACTTAAAGTATTGTAAGCAGATCAAAGGAAACTGTGAAAGCTAGTATTGAAGGAATCTCAAATTTGCAGTTTTCTGCATTTTTACAATGTAGTTTTTTTGATAGGCAAGGAACCATATACATATTATTTATAACCATGATAGTTTAAAAATAGAACTTAAATAAAACAATAGGAAAGAGAGATAACAAAACACTGACCCCTTTTGAATCTGTTAATAGTAGCATACAGTTTTAGTCAATGGAGTAGCTATTTTCTGCCTTTGCAACTGTGTAGCTTTCCTTCTGTGCTCTCTGGAATTGTAATTTTGTCTGTTTCTATTTATTTTTTTAGATAGAAGCTGCTGAATTAACAATACTTCCTAAAGGTATCAATTTAAAAAAAATATATCTTTACTATCCATATTTGCGTGGATAGTAAAGGAAATGGTTAATTTCAAAGATGATAAGTAAATAGTGGCAAATAAATTGTTGAATGATACTCTTACATTGCTTCATTGCTTCTCAACAATATGATTATATTTCTCTCAGGGGAAAGCTAGTGTTACATGATTAGATAAATACTATAAAGTAGGGCCTGTAAACCATTAAAGAAGTACCTGTGGTATGCATACGTGCTTCACAGCTAGTGGGCATCAAGTATTGGGAGGAATACCAAAGAAAACTGGCATAAAATGATATTTGCTTTTCATGAGGGAGGAAGAATTTGTCTGCTAACTAGCAGTAAGTTGAGAAAGCTCAAATAGCTTGTTCTGTGTTCCAGAACAAATAGCTTGTTCAGGTTCCTGCAAGATTTCTCACAAATATGAAACAATAAAACAAGTCATTTAAGGAGAAAGCAAGAAGACAACGAAGCAGCTTCTTCATAGGGAATGATTGCTGTTGCTAATAAAGGAGTTCACACAAAACCTATTTTAGAAATTTCTCAATCAATGGTTATGAATAAGAGAAATAGATTAGAAAGTTTAGTGCTTTGAACACTTTCATGAAGTAATGAAGAAATCAGTTGCATGCCATCAGAACAATGGGTAACAAGTAATCTGGCTGACAAATCTATTCAAAAAAGGGAGGAAGATACCCAAATGGCTGAAAAAGTTTCCCAAAGTGCTCCTGTGTGTTCCTGTGGAGAGGCTTGCTTCAGAAGTCATTAAATGCTTGCTTACTGTGTTGTGTTTGGGTTTTATAATTTCAGTTTACTGGTTTATCTCAACATGTGCATGAAAGTTTAGGGTGTGGGGATAGGAACTAATAATCTAATGTTACCAAGTAATTAGATATCTATCGTGCCTTGGGAGTTTGGATAATTTCCAATTTAAAAATTATGAAATTTATGATGTTAAATAAGGTATTTTTTTTAAAGTTATGTTGAAGCTGATATTGAGTAGCTAATCTAGCAGGACTTAAAGTATTGTAAGCAGATCAAAGGAAACTGTGAAAGCTAGTATTGAAGGAATCTCAAATTTGCAGTTTTCTGCATTTTTACAATGTAGTTTTTTGACTAGCAAAATTCTCAAATCAGAAATGTAGTTTCCTTGGCTAAATACTTTAGAGAAGTCTTAGATTATAGTGACTACTGTCAGATATTCAAGTGGATTCTGGTTATATTGTTTTTGTTTTTTTTCTTTTTTTTTTTCATTTTAGACGATCTCTTACAGAACCGTTTGGTACAAAATGCCATACACATGGGTTTCAGCTTGTCTGAGATAAGGAACATAATGGAAAAGAAAGTGCAGGTGTCTGGAGAAGATTATACGTCTACTGAGGATCTAGTAGCAGACTTAATAAGTGCTCAGAAAGAAAATAAAACAGAAGAACCAAATGAAAGATCACTAGAGAAAGGTGAACTTTAATTACAAAACCTATATGCATATTTTCATAACAGTTCTGTACTCTGTCAAATATATCCTGTAGTTATTTTTCTATTCTGATTCAACGCTTAATGTGAATTTACAATATTGTAACATAAAACTCAAAGTATTTTTGGTATAAAAAGTGCTGGGAAAAGTGTTGATACTTGAGTTTAGCATTTACAAGTATTCGTTCTACTACAAAAATAACAAAATAGGACTATTAGTTGAATATTATCAATTATGTAGTTAGTACAGCATGTTTCTTGGAAAGGTTATACACATTTAAAAAGTCGTAATTTTTGTGGCAATCACATTTTGCTTTTTTTTCCTTTAAAAAAAAAAAAAAGTAATAACCTGCAGTTGTGGAACTCTGGGGGCAAAGTAAAATAGGCTTAGTAGAATGCTGCCAAATACTCAGTATGCATAACTTGAAAATATGTAGTACCCTTGGCTAAGATGCAATACCTCTGCTAAAAGCATTTTCATTGTTAGCTATTAGGAAATAATGTCCTTATAGGTAGTGTTTTTTCTGGACTCTGTATTCCAGCCATGTGAGGATACACAAGTCATGCTCAGAAGTGCTTTGTGGTACTAGCGGTGCAAACAAAGATTTCTGATTCAGAAGAATTGTAGTTTGACATGCATATGGGTGAGGGAGGGAATAAACCATCTGTTTGATATGTTAGATCTTACCAGCCTACTCTCTTGTAAGATGGTTTTAATGGACATGGGGAAAAAGAATTTTTGTACAGGATAGGAGTTATTTTTGTGGTTGTCTGTGAGGAGCTTTTCCCAAGGGGGAAGGGAAGCCGTTTGAGGTTGGTGTTTTCAGATACACCATGCTAGAATATTACAGAGCTAATATATAATGCAAAGTTGGTTGTTTCTGTTTTTACTATTATTAAGCCCTTGAACTATGACCTTTAGAAAACAAAGGCATAGAATGAAATTGTATAGAAGGTAATTCAGTGAGGAAACTTGTTGGAGAGGTGAAATACAAATTATTTAACCAGTATCAATGAGCTTTTCTTTATCTCTCTGTACACGCTTTGGGAAATCTGCCATTGGGAAATCTCTGCAACTTAGTTTCTTGTATTTTTCTTTTCTTTTTAAAGGGGTGACTTCTAAATCTTACAAAGAAAGCCTAGTGTTTGTGTGGGGAGGGGAAAAAAGAGATAAGATGCTGTGATAAAGTATGTTAACTCCTTTGTGTGTGCTTATTTTTCTTAGATCTCAGTACTGAGGAAAAGCTGAGGCGTTTACAGGAAGAAAAGCTTTGTAAAATCTGCATGGCCAAAGACATATCAGTAGTCCTTATTCCCTGTGGTCATCTAGTTGCTTGTAAGGAATGTGCTGAGGCAGTTGATAAATGCCCTTTGTGTTGTACAAATATTATAAAAAGACAGAAAATTTTTATGTATTAGTCAAATACACAGTACTGAAAATAGAAATGTCCCCTGCTCTATTTCTTTAAATATGTGTAATGCAATAGCAGACGGCTGAGCATTCAGCAGTCTAGCACACACATTTACAGAGCATCTCACTTTAGGTATAATGTAAAAAATCAAGCTTTAATTGGCATCCTGAAATCTGAGCTGACAGTCAGAAGCTGCTAGATTTGTTTTGTTTACAATACCCATATTCAACTGCCTCTTTGTTGCTCCCTAGTTTGTTGTGTTTTTAAGTCATCTGAATCTGAAGTTGTAACCTAAAATAACATTTACTATACTCTCAGTTCTCTTGTTTGTGAGTCCTTACATTTGTGCTAATGTACTACAAATACAGTAATTAAAAATATATATATTTTCATAAAATGTCATGGGAAAACTGAGCATTCTGATTAAGCAGTAGTTGTGCTGCACTGCTTGCTTCACTGACAAGTTTATGTTGCAATCTGTTTATAGGCTATGTTTCTATTAATAGTCATTTGTTCAGCTTTCATTTACCAAAAATAGAATATATTAACTTTGTCTTTTTTTTGTGGAGGCAAGGATGAAAACATTTTAGTTGGAAGAAATAAAATGTTTTAAAGTAGTATTTTTGTTGTTCTGAATATTTAATGTATGAATTTATTTCCTGGGGTTAAAATTCTTACTGATTCTTTTAAGATGCTAGTTAAAAAATCCTATTACATGGAAATACATCTTAGTCCATTAGTCGAGTGTTACTGGTTAGTGGTTTTCTATTAATATTATTCTTTTCTCTTGCATATAACTCTTAAGAGTTAGGTTTCTAGAACATGGGTAAGACTTGCTATACTGACTTCTGTTGTTCTCCCAGCTAAGATTGCCTGAGTGTGATATTTCCTAGGTCCTTAAATAGATGCCTGTGCTACTGCAGAAACACGCCTGTCTTCATGTCATTTGTATTTAAGCTTGTAAAACTCTATAACTAGTCTCCAAATAATCATTAACAACCAGGCTAAACAAATATAAGCAACAGAGAAAGAAATAACTGTAGTCCTGATTTCTTTCTTTCTCGATTGACACCCTTTTTATTAATAGACACCTTCTAAACTACTCTAAACCTTTAAAAAAAAAATAATTGCCTCTGTATAGCTATGACTAAGAAAAGAAAACCTTTTAATTGATGAATGTCATCATGTTAATCAGAACACTCGTTTCTAAATACATTTTATGTACTCTCTGTAGAGGTTAAAAATGCAGCTAATTCCAGGATGTAATCGTATGGTGTTACTTAGATTTTTCTGTTATCAAGCTCTACATACACTTTAAAAGTTATTTTCTTAATTGAGTTTTTGTATGTAAAAATGGGTAATAGAAGGCAAATATTTGTCTTCTGCAAGTTCATTTCATGGGCCTGATTTGTCAAAGCCCAAATAATGCAAAGCTATTTGTGTGATTGTTTCTTCACTTGTGTACAGAATCAGGCACTCTTTAAAATTTGTATATGCTATTTGTAGCTGCACCTATGTATTTACATGTATACAGTGTCTGAGGTGTTAGTTTCACAAAAATATTTTGTATGATTGAAAATGTTGCCCTATTTCTTTACCTTTGGTTGTGACATAATTGAGAGAATACGTGTAAACCAGTTGATGAAAACTTCAGCTCATGTGTTCATTAATGTTATTTTGCATGTTTTTGTTTTGATATATAATTCCCATCTCTCCATTTAATTTGCTGGCTTAATCTGTGTAAATTGCCTTCAGTGAAGTATTTTTAACCTTTATATTTTTTAATGGAAATCCATGTGTATATAGAATGAATGTTAACTTAGCTTCTTAAAGGACAGGTCAGCAGAAGTGAAGGAGACTTATGTACCTTTTGCCCTTGATCATGAAAGCAGCTGTCTTAGTTTTAATTCTTCATTTAATTTTCCATAAACATCAAACTGTATTTATTGTTTTTTTCCTCATATTTGTGATGTTTAGTATTTTCCTAATTCATTTTTTTCTGCTAGTAGCTTGTGGTGTTTCTGTGGGGTTTTTTGTTGTTTTTTGGTTTGTTTTTTTTTTTCATTGTTGTTTCTTTTTTCATAACAGAATACCAAACTCTTCATTAAAGTCCTTTCTTTTATCTTTAGTTCACAGCTCATTTTAGAAATCATTTTTGTTCTTGACAGCCTATCCTCTCAGATTACATTATTTAAATTAAAAAAGCTAACTATTCTAGCTATTCTCACCTTAAGACTTAATAAAATATATTATACTAGGCTGATCTTGTATTACCTAATTAAAAGTTATCATATTTTTGTGGTTAAGTACAGCTGGTTTATGATCACTCTGCTCAATTATGTGACTTCTTTATTTGGTGTAGCTACTACTAATGCATGTCCTATGTATATAAAAATTTTATCTTGGATACACACTAAATATATTTTAATGATACCTCGTACAGAATATAGTTTTTCACATGATAAAAACCTTTAAATGCAATATACAGAAATTTAATGTCTATTTTTTTAATGTGCTGTGATTTTTGAGCATTCACAGAACTGACATGTTCTTGTGCTATTCTGCAAAATTGTGAATATTTATAATAAAAGTGCAATCCATTTCGAGTAACACATTGATTCTCACATGCAAAAAAAAAAGTTGCTTTCTGTTGCATTCTGGGTTTGTAATTCAACTGTTAACTAATTTTAAAAATGTTAGTAATGGCAATAAATATATTTTAAATTGAGGAAAAAAATAAAATCAATGGTCTGTATGAAGTTAAATTCTGCTTACGTTATTTTTGATAGCTTTTGTGGTGGTTAGAATTTGGTTCTTGGGAAAAGGGTAATGTCTTGCATTGGGTAAGTTATCACTTTAATTTGTTTTCCTTTTCTGGAAAAAATAGTAGATTTTTCTCTATTCTATTCTGATAAGAAAAGTTTCTATTTTTGCCTATGTCTGCCTTTGCAAAGATTTCAGTTTTGCGGGGGGAAGGAGAGGGGATGCAGGGAGAGGAAGAGAGAGAGATCCAGTCTGGATGTTAGGTCAGGTTTGTTTCTAGCTCCCACTGTCACTGGTGGGCAGAGCGTGCTTGAGTTTTCAGGGGAAACCAGGGGCTGTGCGTGCCCGTGTTGAGTTGCACATGAGCTAGTGTATCTTGTCTGAAGTAGCTTGTTGATGCTGCCTAACAGCACTACCAGGTGCAGGCCACCTCATGCTGACTTGCTTAAACACTCGGTTTGCTACCCAGCCTTCACCTCAGTGACACAAGAGACTGTCTGCATGGGTTTGAGCTAACTTGTAGACTGAAAAAAATGGAATGAATGCCGAAAAAGCCAAATCTGGGAAAGCAGTTGACCAAATTGTGTTTGAATTAAACAATCCTAGGAAGGAGGTGATTACAGATGTAGATAGAGCGTGTAAATGGGTTGAGAAAAGCATGTAAATAGGTTACTAGCAGTGCCATCTCACCTGAAATAGAAAGCAAACAAATTATCCAAATAACATCCAAGTAAATTGCATAAAATCCTTCATATTTAAGCTTTTAGTCTTAACTTTAAAACCATACTGAATTGCTAAATTTACCATAATCTTTAGATAAATGTTATAGAAGATAATAAAAGCACTTATAGAAGATAATAAAAGAAGATAATAAAAGTTTTAATCATTCTTAGAAATATTGAAGGGTTAAGAGTCTGTTTAAACCTATGGAGTGGTTATTTTGTAGTCTATTTTTTTATTATAATCAGAGTTCTATTCAGGCTGCATGTGAGAAAATAATTAGCATAGTCATCAAATTGTGACAACTTTAATTAGGATTTTTTTTCCAAAGTGGTGGAATTGCCAGTGTCTTTAACAGAGGAGACATTCCACAGTGACTGCTACTGAGCTGGATATTTAAAGAGGGAGAACTGGGGAGTGCAAATAAGTGGAATAGAAGCACAGTCTTCCTCCTTCTACTGAGCATCTTTTCAAAGACACCTAAAAGTTGATTTTGTAAAAGAGGTACTTAGAATGAAGAGCTATAGAATATATTCAGTCATCATTATCAGCACCTATATATTCAGAAGCCAATACCAAAAAAAAAAAAAAAAAAAAAAAAAGCTACTAAGTGAAATGGTTTTTTACTTCCTTTCTATTGACAGTGGCAGAACTATTTTGCTGCTATAGATACCTGGGAATTATACATTAATTTTTGATAAAATATTTTGGATTTTTTTTTTCTTTTGAGAAAACATGACATGGCATTAAAGTTAGTTTTTATTTTTGTTCTTACTAAAATGAACCCAAATTTAATTATAGTAGGCTCTTACAATCAAAAATATAGCTGCATGAGAGGTCGATGTAAACATTTGATTGCATTCTTGCATGAAACTTCAAGCTGAAGTGAAGCATTTTTACACCAGCATTAAACTTTACAACAAGCAGTGAAATTTGCAGCTGTAATTGCCCTGATACAATGCATAACTACTTGGAAGATAATTTGCTCTGCCTTCCAGGCTTACAAGTTCACATATTTTGTGTATACAGCCTACCTGAATGGAAGGTAAATTCTTTACAGAGGGAAGATAGGATTTGGAGATTTTTCTGGCTTTCACAATGCTTCTCTGCAGAGATCAGTACATGAACAGAGAGCTGTTGAGCAACGCTCCTCTTGCCCTCTGCTTTGTCCTTGCAGCAAGCCTGGTGAGAAGGCTGCATGCTGAAGTGGGTGAAAGGAATCACTTCCATGGCTGCACCCCAGGCTTCTTGGCCGCCCAGCTGGATTGTCCTTCGCTCATGAACCTGTTTGGTGAAGGGTGGCTCCCTTCCTTGTGTAGGTGAGTGGGAAGAACCTGTCTAGTGAGATCACCTGCTTCATAGAACTGAAATATGTGTGAACAGCTCTTTTCCTTTCCCATATTTGTGTTTATGTGCATACAGTTTATTGACTAGCTGGCAAATTCCGTAATCTTTGGTCTTTCATGGCTCTGTCCTGCTTTCACACTACTTCAGGTGGCTGAAAATGTCTCACTATCTTCATGA